GGGGGGGGGGAGATACTAATTTCATGTGTCCCTTTCTCAGCCCCTTACCTGAGAGAGCCACTCCACTCATCACTCCAGGTGAGACGGGCTTCTTTGGCTTCTTTGAGAGGCTTCCAGGCACTCAGGGAGGGTGGCCATAGTATTTGAGTTGTTAAATGTTATGCCATGTGTAAGGCAGGACTGTCCTGAGCCAGCCCAGCCTTGGGGTTTCCGGAGGCTGAGGGGGTTGTCTTGTAGTGACCAGGTCTATGAGGACTTCACCCCATTCTCTCCTCAGGCTCTGCCAGTACCTGCTGAGCACAGGACCAGCTTTGTGGCACTTTCCGTACCAGCTCCCATGCTGTTTCCTCCCCGCTTGGGGCCCTTAGATGATGGCCTTTCTCTCCAAAGCTGGGCCCTTCAGCTCCTGTCTGATCAGGACACTGTCTAAAGCTTATTTCTAAATTAAACTGTCTCACTCCTCCCTCCAGTGGTCTTGTGACTTTCTGTGGGTCTGGTTGGGAATAGGCAGGCTGGGCAAGGACTCTCACATCTTGCTCAGGAATGTGCAGGCCCTTCAGTGGCTGGTGGGTAGGGGGTCCAGTGGATTGCTAAGGTTTCCTATGGCCGCATGTCTGTCCTAAGGCCCACTCCCCACATGCCCTCCACTTTGAAAACCTCCTGATAATTGATCCATTGCCTCATCCATGCACTGTGCAAGATACCCCAGTGTTGTATCAAAAGATCTTACAATTCCCACACCTTGCCTAGAGACCCTAGAAGTCCCAATGAGCCAGGTACCCATGACATCCTCTAACCTAGAATGACCCCCAGGGGCTCACCCTCCACTAAGGTGCCACCTCACTCAGTGAATACTGTCTATCATTCACACCACTCAGGAAATGAAGCAATTCTTTTGTTGATTCACCCCAGTAAAACCCAATATAACCCTCAGACCAACCCACAGACCCTCTGCCCACCCTAGGTACTATCCTATAGGACCCTACTATGAGCCACATCCCAAGGAACCCTGCATAGCGCACAAATCTAGGTCCCCCAGTATGTCCAAGTCCACTCCTGGAACACCTCACTTGAAAGGTCCCTACATGTGCAGAGTGGGGCTGGGGAAATGTCTCTCCCACCTCAGTAGCCATCTGTCCTGCTGCCTCATCCTTCATGCCAACCTCCATAGCCCAGGATGGAAGGAGTCAGGTGCACTCAGTCCAGCCCGCCCTGCATAGGCCCTGGGGTGGAGGCAGGCCCAGCAGCAGAGATCTGCCCTGTCCCGGCCAAACAGTGGTGCACAGTCTGGATCTGGGGTGATGGGACAGCCATGTTGGTGCATCTTGGTGTTGCTTCAAGCCAGCTCTCTCTAATGGTGCACTGCTCCAAACCCTCCCTCCACTTCTTAAGGGTGGTGTGGGTCCTGTGGAAAGTATGTGTCCTAGAATTCAGGCCCCTGACTTGTAGACTTGGGTTAGGAGGCTATAGCAGGGGAGTCTGAAAGCTGAGGACCCTATCTTCTGGTTGGCAGCCCATCCCAGACCCTGAGGTCTAAAAATGAGATTCATAGATCTGCTTAGGGCCCTTGAAACAGGATATATAAGGAGGTAGAGGTAGGGGAGAGTTCCAAGGCTTGCCCAGAGCTGCAGCAAGAACTTCAAGAACCTGAGTGAGACCCAAGACACCTGGTTGAAAGTGCAGCCACTGTCTGAGTGACCAAGGGCAGCAGGGAGCCATGAGGTTGGCGGCTGTGCCAAGCTCATCACCGCCAGGACCCATCCTATAAGGCCCTTAACGTCCCAGGATTCTGAGTCTATGCATGCTGTGAAGGAGATACAAGTGTGTTTCAGCGGCTGGAATGCGTGGGCACCAACGGGTGATGTGTTCGGGTTAAGAGGTGACATTTGAGCTGAATCCTCAAAGGTGAATGATTAGAGGCGCAAGCTGCACAAACATCTCTCCTGGTGGAAAGATCAGCGTGTGCAATCGACCTTTTGCAAAGACCAGAGGCAAGTCAGTATGACTGGAACCTGTGCGATGAGATCAAAGAGGAAGGAGGCAGGTGCGGCCACTACAGGCAGAAACACCGTCCCCTCCTGAGTGCAGGACGTGGGAACAGGAGGAAGGCGGAGAGCACAGGGCACGCAGCCCAACACAGGGCAGCAGCCTCAAGCACCACAGAGTCAGAGCCTCAGAAGGTGGCTTCCAAACACGCTCTGCAGCCCTGGGGAGTGGGGTGCAGGTCCCTGTCCTTGGACATGTAGGATGCTGGTGTGCGTGGATTGCATTTGAGAAGCTAAAAATGAGCTCCACCAGGAAAGCAAAGTCTGTGGCTGTTGGTGGGGCTAGAGTGGCAGACATGGAAGCCACGTGGTCAAAATGCCACCTTCTGAGTGAGGGAAAACTGCTTTCTTTTTGTTTTTAAGTTTATTTAAGTAATCTCTACACCAGGGTGCCTGGGTGGCTCAGTCTGTTAAGCCTGTGATTCTTTATCTCAGCTCAGGTCATGATCTCACAGTTCCTGGGTTGGAGCCCCACATAGGGCTCTGCACTGACAGTGAGCAGCTGGCTTGGGATTCTCTCTCTACCTCTCGCTCTCTTTGCCCCTCCCCCCCAAAAGTAAATAAATAAACTTAAAAAATAATCTCTACACCCAATGTGGGGCTCGAACTCATGACTGGAAATCAAGAGTTGCCTGCTTCTCTGGCTGAGCCAATCAGGTACCGCCCCCACCCCCCTTCCAACTGCTTTCTTCCTGAAACAGTTAGGTCTTTACCGTCACGAGCCTAAGAAGCTCTGCTGTTGGAAATCTTACTAGTAAGAAGGAAACCCCACCCTTGCCTGGGGGACTTAAATCACTTTTTTTTGGGGGGGGGGAGTTTATTTACTATTTTTTTAGTATTCTCTACACCGGACGTGGAGCTTGAACTCACCACTGGGGGATCAAGAATAGCATGCTCTACTGACTGACCAGCCAGGTGCCATGGGACCTAAGTCACTTTGACTGGATATTCAGGGATTCCAACCTGGGCGCCCGCTCCGGTAAAGGGTTTCTGGACACGACGACATTCCACATCCATCATAACATTTTAGTTTCCTGGCTCCACTTGGCAGCGGACCCCAGTCCCAGTCCTGCTTTGCTCTCAACCTGCCAAACACAGCTTTATTGCAATTTCGGCTGAACAAGTTTCACAGTTCCCTCAAGTCCTATAAGCAAGCACTCTGGGGTGAGGGACTCCACAACCCCTACACCTCCAATATGTGGGACTCCTTCAGTGCCCAGCATAGTGAGCCTGACTTTGTCCAATTACAGGTGGGTACCTGGTGGTTTAGGCTGCTTCTGCCTGACCAAGGCTGGGGCAAGGGGCAAGGGGGCAAGGCTCATGGAGGACGTCGGGGGGTCTGGCTTAATTATGGGTAGAAGTCAGGGAGTGTGATAGGGATGGTAATGGGGAATAAGTTAGCCTGTGTGTTAGACAGCTGGGCCCTGGAGTTGGGCTGTGGATTCCCATGAAAAACAAGTCCAGTCCCCACCTCCTCACCTCACACCCACCCCCAGTCGGGAGAGGGAAAGGTAGCCATAGAATGAGAGGGGTCTCTGCTCAGGGTTCCTGTGTGAAATCTCTCCCCGTGCCTCAGAGACCCCTTCCCCGGGCCCAGTTCTCCTTGGAGGGGTGTGACTTTAGTCCCAATTCCCTTCCTTTTGCCCTCTTCTCCCAGAGGAGGAGCTGCCCAGAGAACCAGAGATAGCAAAAGATAATTTCTATGTAATTGAATACTTAGTATGTGAAGGGCATTGTTAACAAACATTTCACACCTTAACTCAATTTGTATCATTCCATCTGTGCAGAGGAGGAAACCAAGGCTCTCAGAGGTTCTCACAGGCCATCTTGCTCCTGAGCTATTTCTGAAGGACTGGGCTACCCTGCCTTTCTGGTATTTATCACTATCTGGGAGAAAAGCCAGCTTCGGGACTATATATATATCCATATATATATATATATGGATATATATATAT